AGAATCGACACCACAGACAACCTCTTCGGCGATTTTAAGCAACTTTCCATATCACGAAAAGGAGGTGCCTCTTACGTCACTTTTTCTGAAATTGGCACCTTTGTAGTACTTTTACGGCTGTGTAAACTGTGATGGAAAATATAAAGGCACATTAAGAACTGAAAAGTGACTTTCCTACGCATTCGATACCAAACCGGGTTTCAGATATTTTAACGTGAGTTTTATTCATTTTGATGCTGGAAATAATACGGCTTGTAGCTGGGCTGAACGAAGAAGGTACAGTTTTCTCTACAACTGCTTGCTTACGCCGATGATATTTGATATCAGATAAGGAGCAAAGGGTTTGGATCTGGTAGTGAATGAAAACAAGGTGGAAATCTTGTAATCATCGCCGCACGTTTTACTATATGGAGTGGAGACATGGCCGATGCCAACATTTGATTAATCGGCATTAGAATCCGCTGTAAGGCTTAGGTGGATGATGACCAGGTTTTTTCAATTGATACCAAGGAAAAGAAGAAACGTCTGGCGCTCTCAATTAATTCGGATGTATTTCACAATGCAAAATGTTAGTGTTGCTGAGCATAACGAGCTTTCCTATTGGGTCTTCAGTCCTCATTTTAACCAACCAATTTGGCTCAGCTTTAATTTCAGTAGTGTACTAGCATATTTCACTGAATTTAGTTTTTCAGAAACTTGTCGCCCAAACTAAGACAGCAACCGTATTTCCATTTACATCTTTAAAACCTCAAGAGCCTAAATGTAGGCAACAGCTCTGCTAACACTTTAGGTAAGTGAGTATGCGTTCGTGTTAGAGATGATTGTGTAGTTAAAAAGATATTTTAATTGGAGGGGTTTGGTTTGATGCTTTGTTGAGCAACAGCAACAACAATAATAACGAGATTTTTCGAAAATCAAACGAATACTTTGACACAGTTAAATACGCTCAAGTAAGAGAACGCAGGGAAAAGCAAAGCAAAAAGTACCAGCAACAACATTTAGTTATTTTCTTTTTTTTTGCAAAACAGTGACAGCGAGGACAACAATAACATTAAATCGCAGCATGAAAAAGCATAACAACAATAGAAACGAAGTGAAGGAGAAGAAAACGAAGAAGATGTAGATGAAGGGAGGAAGAAAACGATGAGGAAAAATTAGAAAAAGTAGAAAAAAAAGAGAGTAAACGAGGAAAAGTCATTACAATGGTATTTGTGTAATAGAAGCAGCAGAAGTAGGTGCAGTAGGCAGGAAGCATCAGGAGAAAGAGGAAGAAGCAGCAGTAATATCAACTTGACTTGCGTTGACGAATGAAATGAAATGTGTTTGTTTGCATTTTGTTGTTGCTGCAATGTTTTGATGATATGGGAATACATCTATGCCTCAGCGACTGCTTACTTACTAGGCTAGCTGCAGAGAAAGAGTAATGTTGTCAATACGAGGCAAAGATGCGAGAGCTAGAAGTTTGATGGCAACCACCGATAGGGAATGCTTAACACATATATAGACATTCACATAAAAAGTCGTGCCACGTATACTAAATATTTATTTATTTTTTTGTTTATATATGTATATATGTGCTACATACTCGTATATGTATGTATGTACATATGTACTGAGGCTCCTCGTAGCTGCCTATATCATTAAATACATTAAATACTAGTGAAAAATGGACTGGGATGTAATGATTATTTCTCACATTTGTACATATGTATGTATATACACATATGTTTGTTTGTACTCATATATTTAAACTGGAAATCTGTTGTTATTTTTGTTGTTGTTGTTCATGTTTTGTGGGCCATCTTCAGTACCTCAGAAGTTCGGTTTCTCATTGAGGCCACCGTTGGGCGGGCGAGCAATGAGCGATGAGCAAATCATGCTGTCAAATATGTACATACTCGTACATACGGATGTGTATATACACTTACACGGTACATATGTATGTATGTATGCATGCGTATTTACACGCAAATATCTGCTTCGAATATTTTGCACCAAACAACTAATCACCGTGGCCACAAAGTGTATTGTTAACAATGGCCTTGCAACAAATAACATGTAGCAAACAAACGCATAAAACATATGTAAGTACGAACGAAAAAGTCAGAGGATAAAACAATTTTGATATGACATGCCGCTTATTTGTGAATGCCATATGTATGTATGTATGTATATGTATGTATGCGTATAAATAAATATTAATTAATAAGCGTATCAGTAGCACCGAAATATGCATGTCCGACTTTCATACATCACCGGCCAGAAATCAAAATTTTTACACATCCCGTCACACAAGTCAGTGACAATAACAACTCTAAAATGGAAATACTTATCACTAATTTATGGTCAGCCATAATTTAATTTAATCTATTTTACTTTGTTTGGTTTAATTATTTTACATTTATTTCATTTTTTTTAATTAATTATATTTTTTATTGTATGAGTTTTGGTTTATTTATTATTTTAATTTAATTTTTTTAATATATTTTAAAATTTGTTGATTTATTTTTATTTTACTTAATATTTAATATTTTAATTTATTTCATTTTGTGTTATCAAGTTTTAGTTCATTTTATTTTGTTTTATTTAAGTTTATTTAATTACTATACTTTTTATTATTTTTTTCTATTTCAATTTCATTTTGTTAATGCATTCAAGAAGATACAATGTCTTTTCATTATACACATGTTTTTTATTGATTTTATTTGAATTTATTAATTACTATTTATTATATTACATCACATATTTTTTTTTATTTACTTTCATTTCATTTGTTTGTTTGTTTAATTCTGCTTTATCTAAATTTATTTATTCCTTTTTTATAATTTTTTATATATTAATATTTTTTGATTTTTTTTTAATTTCTTACCTATATGTTTTTTCACTTAAATAATTTTACTTTCTTTTAATATTTTATTTTGATATATTCTAATTTTTATGTATTTTTTTTATTCATTTCTTTTTTATTTTATTTAAGTTTTTTTATTTTACTCAATTTACTTTTTTATATTACTTACAAAAATTTTTTTATATATTTTTTCTTCTTGTTAAAGATTATTTTACTTAACTTTATCTTAATTCGTTTAAGTTTATTTAATATTTTTATTTCGTTTTATTTTATTAAATGTTTAATTTAGTTTATTAGTTATTATTTGCGAATTATTATTTATAGTTTTATTTTTTTTTGTTTTATTCTGCTTTAATGTAATTGGTTTAAATTTATTTCATAAACGAACATTTGTCGGATCCGACCAGATCGGACGACTGCAGAATAAATACGATCTATTTCTTAGCTTTGAGGTTTGAGTAACAGTGTAGTTCAGCTAAGTAAATGAAATTTGAAACACTGCACGAATATGATGAAATACACATTGGCTCCAAGAATTATCGAAATCGGCCCATTATTTTTTATGGCTCCCATACAATTGATTTATTCAGATATGAGGTTTTGGTTGAAAAATTGGTCGAAAAAGCATCTGAAAGCGTGAAACTCAATATCAGATATTCTTATCAACTGCTTTTCATTTCAAACATTTTCAACTAAAATCATCGATAGCCTCCCTACAACCCGTTTGCTGAAATATGACGTTTTGGGTCAAAAAACAGGAAAAAAATCATATTAAATTTGAATTGAGTTGTAATGTTATTTTTGATTAGCTTAATTGTTTTTATCTATTTAAGTCTTCGTTTTATTTTATCTTATTTTAATTTCTTTCATCTTAATTATTATTTAGTAAATTTTGTTTTTTCTAATTTATTTCTACTTGCTTAAATTATTTTATTTATGATTTTATTTAAAATAATTTCATTTAGTTCAATTGGATTCTATTTTATTTCGAGTTGTTATAATAACTTACTTACTTATTTTCTTTATTTTCATTAATTTTATGCTATGTTTTTTGTCTTATTATTTTCTTTTCTTTATTTAATTTGTTTTTCTTTAAGTTAAATTTTAGCAGTTTTATTAGATTTGAATCAATTTTATTGTTTATGACCATTTTTTTCCTTTTATATTCAATTTTTTTTCATTTTGTTTTCATTAAGTTTTTAATTTCATTGTTCTATTTAAATGTTTATTATTTTCTCATTACTTATTATTTTTTCCCTTCTTTTATTAAATTTATGTTCATTTCGTTTTAAAAATTACAGCATAATTAAGTTTAGTTTAATTTAATTTAAGTTTTAAATATTATTTTAATTCATTTAATTTTGTCATTTTTAAATATTTTGTTTCGTTTATTTTACTTAACTTTATTTTAGTTTTATTTAATTAAATCTAAATATTTTATTATATTTTTATGTTTTTTTTTAGTTTATAGTAATTTATTATATTTTTTTTTTATTTATTTTATATTTTATTACTTGCTTACCTGTTTTTCTTTTTAGATTATATTATACTATTTTATTCTTATTTATTTTATTTACATTTTTTATTATTAAATTAAATTATGTTTCTTAATTCTTTAGTTTAAGTTTATTTTATTTTTCATGTTTTGGTATTTTAGTAGTATTCAATGTAAATTCAAAAGTTCCATAATAGTTCTTTCATTCTCTTAAGCCATTATCATAAACGCATACACACATACTTTGACACTTACAATGTCAGAGCAAACACAAAAAAAAAATGTTACTACAATAACAAATTGGCACAATAACCACGGATGGCAAGATATTTGTATATTTTTTTGCTTTTTCGAAGGCTTGTCTTTCCTTTGCTTTTCTTTTCGGTTAGTAAGGCGTGAAAATTTCGGCTACCTCGTACATACATACATATACTCCAAAGTAAATACATAGCAGCATAGTGGAAAAGCTTGCGTTTTCTAGGTCGTCCTCCATGGCGCCTAATATTCGATTGTTTTAATGCAAAGAAAAATTATAAATTCGCCAAAATAACTTCATATTTAAGTGCATTAATAAGAATGTTTAGTATTATTAATTCTTATACATACACATATGATTGCATAGACTTTTAATGACAAGTAATGTGAACTCATTCTCACCTCAATATATTTTTGTAAAAAAAGTGCACAACTGAAGCCTCTGATCCGAGTGGTACTGCTTTTAATTCAACTATTAAGCTTTAGACTTTCATGTTTCATAGTATTTATGCATATTTTCAGTTGCTTATTCATATACATATGCATATACGTATGCAACACAAGTACGCCTTATTTTAGTGAGCCAGCTCCATAGCGCATTGGCTTCTTTCTATCTGTCGTTTACGCTATGTACTATTTCCCTAATTTTTGTTCACCAAAAAAAAAAAGAATTGATGATTTTCTTCTCACATCAAAATCTTGATTTTCACACACATACACACACACGCTCACGGCCAGTGTACACAGGACACGTTTTTAGAGCACACAGTTAACCCGCTTCGCACGTGCTCTCCATGCGATATCCCGTTACCAACTGAGCGTGTATACAGAGCGAAAAGTCATAATGGTTCAAAAAGTGTTGTCAGAATGTGTGAAGCAGAGCAGCAGCAGTAGCAGCAGCAGCAGCGGCCGTTAGAGCAGTATTAATGGTAGTAAAAGCAGGAAATGGTTATGAAAATTCCTCTACAGCGCAACAGTGGCACACTAGCCCAGTGCAGACCCGCAGTCTGGGTGAAGGAAAAACAAAAAACACAAAACCAAATCAGCACCACCCAACCACCCACTGCTCTGCTGTGCGTTTGTTATGAACAATGGAAATGGATGAGAGTGAAATGTTAGTAGAAATGAGAGTGAAAGCGAAATGATGACAGTTTATTGTGAGCAGAGTTGCCACCCGTAATTTTAGAAAAAGTGTGTGAACGCACATAAATTCAAAAGAAAGCAAAATTCGAGTTATCTCCAACCTTTCACACTTACTTAAAAGTTGTATCAACGCTGAGTCTGATTTCGATATTTTTTGTTCTCCATCACGCAAGCTCCAAGTACTAAACTTATAAAAAAAGGAATCTGAAAAAGAAATAGATACTAGCCTCTGCTCAGTATACTGTTAACTATCTTCGAAAGTAAACTAGAGCCATCTCGATCCGCAACGAGCATTTTGGCCTTATTTAGGTTCATGCGACTTCTGGCTATTCTTTAAACTAAAAAAAACTCCGAGAACATCGTTTCGAGTTGATAGAAGAGATTCAACGTGTATCAGTAAATGAAAATGACTTTTGAAACGATGGCATAAGAGCATTACACCGAGACAGGATTACTTTGAAGGTTGTCAAATTGAGCTGGAAGAACAAATGAATTTTTCCATTTATAAATAAACTCAGTAAGAACAGTAAGAACAAATAAAAATTGTTCACGAATTTAGTACCAACGCATAAATAATTCAAATACAAAATTTTCTTAGAATTTTTTCAAAGGTAGTATAAACGAAGTATTTATTAAAAAGCATGAATTTCTTCTCATAAACGAGCAAAGGTGCAAGTTGAAAGCTTCGCTGGTGGAAAACTTTTTTCAAACAAACTATAGAAGTAGTAAGCAAGCTTTTGGATATGCTTTGTGTGCTTTTTATTGGTAATAAATATATGTAAGCACCAAAGCAGCCTTACGGCCAATCAAACTTCAGCCAGCTTAAAGCTTTTGTGGTTCTTTCCGGTTGTAACAACTGTTGAGCTTTTTTGTAAGCTTACTGGGGTATTTATGTGAATGTATGTATGTACATGATTACAATAGGAAGCTTACCTTATAAGTTTTTGGAAGCTTATAATATTTCACATATGTTTACAATTTCTTATTGAATTGAAGACTGAATGTATGTATGTATATGCAGATTCTTTTTATAAAAAATTTGGTAATACGCAACCATTAATTGCAATTGTAGGAATTCTGAATATTTCCTATGGACACAGAAATTACTTTGGCATTGCCTATTAAATTTTTGAAATCATAATTTTTGAAAAAATACATATATAATTCAATAAAGCTCTCACCGATGGCAACAAGAAAAGCGTAGGATCATTAACCAATAAGGCATTTAAAAACCGATTAAAAAAAGATTCAATTAGAAAAAAAATATTTTTGTCTTTTTTTTTTTTAAATAAGAAAAGGAAGTGATAGGTATTGGTGATTCGGTCGTTTGAGAACAACTGAATAGCATAATCAAAAAAATATTGAACTGGTTGGCACTAGAATTTCATTGAAAAATAAGAAAATTGTAGAATTCGAAAAAAATTAATTTTTTTTATGTTGAAATCGGGTTTAAATTGGAGAGCTAGCGATGAAATATTACCCCAGCTCCTTTGAGAACTGTTTATGGGTAGAATAACATAATGAAAATTCAGTCCAACCTCGGATAGAAAATTTTTTATCATCCCTGCCGACCGTAAGAACGTTGTCTCGACAAGCTCACCGCGTACTACTGCGAGATGCTCACGTGTAGAATATCACCTATATTTCGTCAATATTTCGAATTTAGTTCTTAATTTTTTTCCGTGTATTTTTAAATATAGAAAACTACCTTTACAGAGGAAGTAACGAGATTTACTTGTGTACTTGCTTGCTATGGATGGTATCGCCTTAAAAAAATCATAAACATCTGATCATTTCGAAAAAGTATTTCATTCATAATTAGTTGTCTTCTTTTTCTTCATTGGCGCGGTCACCGATTACACTTGTTTGCGGTATTCATCCCAATGTGCAAAATACCATAAATCTCAGGAAAGACTTCTCTATGGAACGCCAAATAGCAGGGTGGGAATGATGTGGGATTTGTAGAGTTTGGCCTTTGTGTGCTGACAGAGGAGTTTCCTTTTTTATGGTTTAGTGAGAGCATACTTTTGTATGCACCTTTTCAGTTTCTTGAAGCCAAGCTTGAATAACCCTACCAGTAAACCAGCGTTTGTAGTCGCTTTATTGTTCTTTAAACGTGTAATCGCTATCCGAACCTCATCAAAGTCGCATAATGGAGCATCATTTTCATGCTCATCTATTATGTATCAGGTTACTCACCTCTGTATGGCTGGAGAAATGTTTGCTCCATATACTAAGTATGCCCTGGACGTCGGTCATCAGATTACCACCTTGGTTCCTACAAGATTATTCTCCGGTCTCGAAACTCACTTTCTGTGAGTAGCCACAACTCTTCATAAATTTTTCAACCATTTTGGTCGTGACAGCATTCTAAAGGTCTTCATACTGACTCATTTCGCTCTTTCTCTCTTTTTTTGTCTACAAATACGCCTTGCTTCCCTCTTCACTTCTCTTCTCATGCCGCTTGTGTGACAGTTAATCGAAACGTCGCCAGGTAGATGCCTGTTTTCTCTCCACTACAGTCCGTCATTCCTCAACGTACTAGCTCTTTTCCGAAACTGTCGAAAACGAATTGTTTCAATGGCGGTGGCCACTATGGAGTTGGAGATGTCGCCTCACATTCCACTTATATCGAGTTGCAGACTAGTCAGAAATCGGCGTTCCATGTGTTTGTTGGATACACAGAGGCAGGTTTGTATCTTCATTGCGAATTGAAAGCGATCCGTATAATTGCTAGTTCCTCGAAGCGTAGGCACGTCAAGAACACTTGAGGCATAACGACCGTCTATCACAATATGGTCGATGTGGCCGTTAGTTTTTTGACCCGGTGACAGTCAGGTAGCTTGGTGATTTTTCTTGTGTTTGAATCTAGTCCTATAGATAATCATACTTTGGCCCACTTCATTTTGTTTGGGAATTTGATTTCATTAAAAAAGAAGCTAGAAACACAAAGAAGCTTGAAAAGGGGTCCCACATGAGTAAGCGAGAAAGAGCCTATTGTCCGACTCTCCTTATGCGAATCGTTGTTGAACAAAATTTACCGATTTCTGAGGCGGGTGGTGACTGGTGATGAAAAGTGTATCGCTTACAGTAATGTCAAACGAAAACGGTCATGATCGAAGAGCAGTGAGTCGGCACAAACGGCGTACAAGTTAGGATTGACAGCCAGGATGGTTTTGTTGGGTGTTCGGTGCAATTGTTAAGGAATCATACAGTATGAGCTGCTCCCCTACAGCCAAACTCCTAATTTGGATTTTATTGTAGTTTTTGTCGAATTTTGCGGCAGTGATGACAGTCCAAAGGAGGGGAATTGTTTTTGATCAGAGCAACTCCATACCACTCACATCGTCTTGGCAGAAGGTCCAAGAGCTTAGTTGGCGAATGATTTAACTGATGAGGAATTTGCCTCAAGAGAAGCCTGTAAAAGTCGATAGTCCTAATTTTTTGCCGAGAGGGACAAGGGGTCTATTAGAGAGGCATAATGACATTACCTTCGAAATGGCAAAAAGTTATAGAGCAAAACGATGTACGAGTATATATACTAACTATGGCAAATAAAGCCATCAATTTAATGCAAGAATAATAGATGCCCTGACCTAGTACAGCACAATATAGGTGTCGGATTAATCCGATTTCGGGAGACATTTTTGAGGAGATCCTACCAAACTGCACTGCTACCCTCTTTATTGTGACACCAGTCTGAAGAACGTTACTGTTTCTTCTTGCAAATTGAAGTAAACGGCCATCGTTGACGAATGCTGAACACTGACGAATGCTGAAAACTTTGTAAGTTTAGCATCTTAAGATTGGCACATAGTTTTCGCGGGTCTACATCCTTTGTCTCGTTCTCAGAGTCTATTAGTCCGAGCAAAGTAAGATTATTTCTTGTATTACTTATTTGAATGTAACTTGTAGATTCGATATTACATCTCATTCTAAAGGAGCACCCTCCTTGGCCAGTTCGTCGCCTATCTCATTGCCTTCAATGCCTGTTGTGGTCTCGCACCCGGTAAATGTAAACTCTTCTGTTTTCAAAAAGTGTTTTTATCGTTTCTTTTCATAATTTGACTACCGCCGACATCGTACAATTCCAGCGGCTCGGCTGTCTTCAAAAAAGGTGTATTCTTTTCCTTGAAGTCCGGCGCGACATTACGTAGTCTATTTTTGCTCTTAGTGGTTACGCTTTGCTACTCTTCCCGTCAGTGATGACTTTTACCTGCCTAGGAGAGTATAGCTTCGCAGATGAAGAAGGAATGTTCTGTTTTTATGTTTTGAAGCTTCTGCGGGATAGTAGCACAATAATTTTCCCACGGTGAGACATGCCTGTCATACTACTAAAATCCAAAAGCGCCGGCAAAAGTCGCGTCTTTACACCGGTACGAACCGGATTTTTATGCGGCCAAGGACTGTCAGCACTGTCGCAAAAAAAAAATACTTTGGGGAATATTTTTGCGGCTACAGTAAGTCAGAAGATCCTTTCACGCCTCTTCAGATATGCTATCTTCTCCATAGCAGTCATAGCAGAGGAGAACCCCAAGTGTAGCTCAACATCCTTTTGATATGAAAATTAAATTACAAGGATTTTGGTGTAGTGAAACAACTCTGGATACCGCTGGTATATATATATTTATATATATATCGTTCTTCTCCTCCAAT